GTAAGTTTTTGTATCAAAGTATGTTTTCAATTCTCTTGGATATATATCTAGGAGTAGAATTGCTGGGTCATACAGTAACTCTAACTTTTTGAGGAACTGCCGAACTGTGGTTGCACCGATTCTTTCACATGAGCAAGGAATAAACTTCTCTGCGGTTTACACTAGTATTCTTTTGGGTTTTGATGTATGCACAATTGAGCCTAATTAGAACTTGGCCATTAAGTCTTTAGTGTTTTATAAATGGGTACATAGTCTTTCATTGCCAGGTGTTTCTCATCTGCTCAATAAGACTGGAAGAATTTGAGGCTGGGGATCATGTTATCTTTCCGCATCGATCACAGAGTCCAGTATCATGCCATGCCCCAAACAGAATTAATTAAAATACTTCTGGCTGGCTGGCTGGCTGGCTAGATGGATGGATGGATGGACGGACGGATGGATGTAGGAGCTCACACAAAGTCTAAAGAACACGCAGAGACTCACCAGCCTTCTCATTCTGTGAGTGAGAATTTCCTTTCTCCACCATCAGTCACTGAGCTGCATCTTCTATTCTATCTTTTTAATTACAGGATACTTTATATTTTCTGTTGAAATTTATATGGAAAGACACTAGGTGTTGCTGCTTTCCCATGAAAAAGAATATTGCTAGGAATTATCCAGTAGTACTTTAAGCCTTTATTACCAAGAAATGAGAAAGAATTTTGATTTTCCATTTTTGCTTTTGTCAAAGTTCTTTCCAGATAAAACATTTACAAAATAAATAGTGTGGTAGGCAGAATAATAACCCCCTACAGCTGCTCATGTCCTAATCTCCAGAATCTTTTAGGTTGCATGGCAAAAGGGAATTAAAGTTGCTAATTAGCTGACTTTAAAATAGGGAGATTATCCTAGATTATCTGTGTGGGCCTAATGTAATCACAAGGGTCCTTAAGAGTGGAAGAGAGACAGAAGAGAGAGGAAGATGTGACTACGGGAGAGAGACTCAGAGAGAAGTAATGTCGCTGGCTCTGAAGATGGAGGAAGGGGACCATGAAAAAAGGAATGCAGACAGCTTCTAGAAGCTAGAAAAGGCAAGGAAACAGATTCCCTCCTTGAGCCTCCAGAATGACATACAGCCCTGATGACACCTTGATTTTAGTGCAGTGAGACCCCTATCAGACTTCTGACCTCCAGAACTGTAAGATAATAAATTTGTGTTATCTTAAAGTCACTAAGTTTGTGAAAATTTTTTACAGTAGCGATAGAAAATCAATACATGTACTAATAATATGTTTCTCCACTTCGTCCTTTTGAAAGTAGGAATCCACTTCTTAGGAAGACAGTGGATGAGGGTTAGGTGACAGTTCACCAACACATAGTTAATATATGATTGTATTATGTTAGCTAGTATACATATGATGTCACATCACTTATATAATATTCTGGCAGGGAATGCATGAATCTAATCACAAAGAAACATCAGACCGACTCAAAATAAGGAAGCCTCTATTTAAAAGGGGGGCGGGGGCTATAGTCTTTAAAAACGTCACTATCATAAAAGAGAATGAAAAGGTGAGGAACTGTTCCAGATTAAAGGAGACTATAGAGACAACTAAGCACAATATATGATCCTAGACAGGATCCTACACTACAGGAGGAAAAAATCCTATAAAGGAAATTATTGTGTTAATTAACAACTGGAATGCAGATGGTAGATTTTATTATAGAATTATATAAGGCTGGTATTTTCAGTCTCTTGTTCATTCAACTATTTATGGAGCACTTAGCATGTGCCAGGTTATGAAAAGTCCTGACAGCACAAAGATGAATGGGGCATGATGGGGCATGACCTTGAGAGATTTAAAAGGTAGTTAAGGACAGAGAGAAGTTAATTTAAAAACGAAAGTACAAGAAATCACTGTGCCCATGGTCAGTACGAAAAAAGTGCTGAAGGATCTCAGAGAAGAAAGTACCTGAGCATCCCTGGGTATCAGAAAAATCTGCATACAGGAAGTGACATTTCAGCTGAGTCTGAAAGGACAAGACCATACTGCAGAGGTTTTAGATGGGGTGGGACAGTTTTAAGGTAGAGGGAAAAATGTGCCTAAGTATCCTAGGTTTGGAAAATGCAAACTGTTCAGGTGATACTGTAGGCACTCAAAACCAACACAAATAAGCTTGGCCTTATTTCAGACTCCTTCAAATCTCATCCCAGCTAAGGCTCCAGGTTGGGCAGATATCTCAGGGGAGTACACAGAACGCCAGGACAGGATGTCCCCCAAAGGGCCTGTGAAATTCCCTAGACTGAGGCTTCATTTTTGGAGATCTGATAGCTGTTGAACTTAGGAAAAGACAATGGACCCTACTCTAAATACTAACCCCAAAATATTTTGACTGTGTGGACATCACAGCCTCAGTTAATACAAAGTTTATGTGTAATCGACACTTAAAAACACATATTCACATGAAGTCATATCAGGATTCATTCTCTCAGATGTGAAAGAGAATATGAAAATATTCTCAGTGTTAGCCCATAGGGATGGACAAATTTATACTGAGCCAGATATGGTCTCGATGGTCAAGGGACAGGGTTTGCCTCCTTACAATGGTCATTGGCCTCCAAGTGGCCTTCACTTTACTGAACCCCCTGCATGGTAGGTTTGTCAGAACCACTATTTAGATTATCCAGGAGATCCGGGTCCCCTCTCCAAAAAATAGGAGGTCATTACATAAACTCACATAAAACTGACTTGCAAGAGAGTCCATTTCAAATTTTCAGTGTGAAAGAGCTCTGCTGACAGGAGAGAAATGAGGCTTCTGGGAAGTTATAGGCAGTCAGTTGCCACTGAAGAGATGACCACCTGGACTCTGCTTTCTTCCCCAGCCCATGCTAGAAATACAGCCCCCCGGATTTCTCAGTGAGCCATGTTTTCAGTATTCCGCGTTGCCCTCTGCTGGAAGGCAGCACAGACAGCAGAAAGAGCCTGGGCCACGGATTCATATGAACATGTTTGAATCCGGGTTCTCCCATCACAGACTCTGGGCCCTGGGTCTAATTTCTAATTCTGCAACTTAACATTCTTGGGGGGGGGGGGGGATGCAGTTTAGCCTCAACTTTGTTTTAGGTACTGTGCTGGTTCTTTATGTATTTTTCTTTAATCTGAGAATATAACTCTAAAATAGGTATTATCCCCATTATAAGAAAATTAAGCTCAGAGAGATTAAGTAATTTGTCAAGGTCACACAGCTGGCAGGATATTAGACTGGGATTTCAACCCAGAATGTCTGAATCCAGTTTCTTGCTCGAAAATCATCAATAACCAGGCCGCTTGGGGGCGGCAGCGGAAGAGAGTGAAGGGGAGGGAGTAAAAGTGGTTGAAGATTGGGTAAAGTGACCGACCATTCATTAGGGCTCTATTTCCAATTCCCAAAGCTGTTTCCCCAGCTTTACTAGAGGTTATAGCTGGACACACTATAACGGTAGCTGGTACACAGCTCTCCTCTTATTTTGTTAGAATGATCCAAGATCTAAAATTAGCAGCCATCTAGAACCTGGGGGACAGAGCAGCTTTAAGGCTCTTACGAAGAACCAATGTGGCCTGTTCAACTCTACAGTGTAGCAACTTTGCTAGACTGCAATTTATAGCTAGAGATTTCCTCTCCATTTGAACCAGCCCAGTTCAGTCTGGAGATGTCTTTCCATCGCCAGAAATCATCTATGAAGACAGGCCCAGACCCTCCAAGTCCTGAGAAGACAGGAGCACCAGATGAAGCAGTCTTTCAAGTTAACCAAGCTTGGTTCAGACATCAATTAGTTATATGACCTTGGGCAAATTGAACATCTCGGCCTTTGCTTCCTCATCTGTAAAATGGGGATAACATCACCTGTGAGGAGTAACTGATATAATGGGTGTGAATGGCTCAACAAGGTGCTGGCACACTCCACAAGAGTTAGCAAAACAACCCTGTAGTAGCAGCTTCTCAGGACAAGGCCAAGAGCCTTGGGGTTCTATGTAACAGATGGGGACTTACAACCTCAAGGGCATGGTAAATGGACATTTATATCCCAGATTGGAGGAACCCAATAGGAGAGAGAAAGTCTTTACAGTTGTCAACTTGCCTTCCTTCCATTTCCTCCATCTCTTCTTCTCAGCGATCCTCCAGATCACGTGGCAAGTTAAACAAGTTCAGTCTCATTACTTATCGACATAACTCATGCACTGACATTCTAGGACCAGAGTTCAAGGAAAATTTATTTTTCTCTGAGTCTGGTCAGAATTCTTTCTCTTTCACTTCCTTTCCTTTCTAGGAGTGCAAACCAGTCAAATAATTGAAAAGCTTATTTGGGGGAAAAGGGTGGGGAGACAAGGAACTTGTATCCTTAAGGGTAAGAAGGGACCAAGTCTTTTCGCCTCAGTTGGGAGCATTCACAGACTTATGTATATCGATACTTTGTCAGAAATTGACTTGTTTCTTTGTTCATCTGGTATCTTCTCAAAAGTCAAAGGCACAGGAATTATCAGTCCCAGGAAAGCAACTGTTACTATGGCTCTTTCTATTCTGTCCCAAACCACCTAGAAATAACAATATGAATATATATATAACATTTAAGGTAAGAAAATTAAGGAGATGAAGATGATGATGATTTAATTTAGTTTGATGTACTGAGAAATTTTTCCAGGATACCACGAATCCTGATTTGAAGCATAATAAAGCATTCCTAAAGAAAGTACTTCTAAAGTTTAAAGCAGTAATTACAGAAGTTCCAAGCCCGCTCACTAAACCCATGAGACACCTTTTTCCAACATACCTACCTACACATACACACGAACACACGCACGCACGCACGCACGCACGCGTAATTCCAGACTAAAAAAAAAATTGTGTTGTAATTGAGGCAGTTCCTCCCTAGATTCAAGCTCATGGTTTAATATATTATTTCCATCCTTTTAATTTACCGTTTACAGTCACACTCTATTTGTGTCCAGATATATGTATATACCATTAATGAAGCACACAGGTCAGTTATTCAGGTTTAATAATTCCACAGTTTATGTTATTATCGTTTGAACACATTCTTTGCAGATAGTCCAGGTCACCCAGCCTCCAAATCAGAACATTTAATCAAAGTTTTCTGCATTCCAAGCTCTCGCAGAACAGATCTCTCTGATGAAATAACAAAAGAATACATATTTGTTCAGTTGGGTGGCAAAGCACTCAATTTTGGTCTTTAGGATCCAAAGATTTCTATAACCAGCAAGAGCAGATGGGGACAAGGAACGAATACAGAAATTGATACTGTTTGAATCTGACTCAGAATTCTGAGTCCCTCCTTTCCAGACTGCCTGAAAAATAAGCCTCCTTTCCTTAAGTGCAGAATGAATCTACTTATGTAAGAATCTACTTAGGTAGGAAATCCCACGGGAGGAGGAAAAGTTACAGTAACACATAAAGGGAAGATGAAGACTGTGGACTAACACTCTACTGCCTCCCTAAAGGAGTGTGCAAAATACCCTGGTGACAGTGACCCACAAACACCCTGGCTGCAGGGACGTGGAGATTTAGCCACTTTCCTACAGCATACTTCTGGAAACTTCTGCAGCAAATCTTCCTCCTCTTCCCTATAAATCTGAGCTAATTCCTTGCATCCAGGCAGGATGAGAGCTTCCTGATCAGACCCCTTAGTGGAAGGTCAACATTGAAAAAAAGATAGCATTCACTCACAATCTCAGGCCAACCTCAGGCAGGCAGGTTAAGGCAGGGACATGTGTGAAAGGTCCGTTGTAATCCTATCCAGGCCAAAAGCAAGTCACTTGGGAAATCCCTAACATTGAATTGGTGCTCAGGGCTCCCTCCAGGATGTCACAAGTGGTGTGTTTTGTCTAAATTAATTAGGTCCTACCCAACCCTAACCAGACCAAGCTCCCCAGTTCTAGGATGAACTCACTATTCCTTGGCCCTTTGGACTAGTGGACAATCTGTCACTATTCAAACTTTTCAAACTTTCTGGTCCCTCTCTAGCCTGGATTTATGTCCCCAGAGAATTGGGGCAGCAGTGGACCAGACTCAGACTGAGATGACGGAGAAAACAGCTGGTCTTTGTACATGTTTAGAAATTAACTGAACTCCCTTTGGAGTCATATTTACTCCTAGCTCTGCACCTGGAGCATAATATTAAAACAAAAATGTCTCATTTTCAAAGATTCTCACCATTTCCCCCAACACACACACCACCAGAAGATGCCATCCCACCCAAAACTGCCAGTGTCCCTAGGGCCTAAGCACAAAGTAGCATTAATGGCATTTGGCAGAAAATCCCACCCCATTTTGAAGACTCCTCCCAGTTCAACACAGTGAAGTAAGATATGAAAAGGTAAGAGAAGAGGCAGTAGAAACCAGAATCTGTCCCTTCCCACATAACAGGCACAGGAATCTCAGGAGTTAGTGAAAACAGCATCATCTCTTGCCAGAAGGCCACCAGCTACCACTGGGTGAGAGCCGCGTTATCACTTGTTTCTCCTCTGGACTGAAATGCAAGATAGTCAGGATAGCTGTGAGTGTCTGCTGGCGGCCCAGGCTGTCAGGCAAGGTCAGGAAGCGGTAGATGATATTTTTGAGGTACTCCAGGTTGGCTCCTTCCCTACTCTGGTCCCTGATGTTCTTTTCAATGTGGCTCTGCAGGACTCCAACCTCCTCCCGATGCCGCTCGCCCTCCTCCAGCAGCTGCTCCTGCAGCTGATGCACCTCAACCTCCAGCCTATGCTTCTGCTTCCTCAACAACGTGATCTCCACCTCCTTGCGGGCCAATTGCTCAGCATATAGGAAGAAAGTGGGCTCATTGGCCGCAGCTAGTTGCAGTGCTTGGGTCAAACTATCTGGGGAAGCTGTGTCAGCCGGGTCCCCAGGACCCCCACTACTCACAGGGCTTCTGCGTCCTGGCAGCCCAGAGGACAAGGCCACAGAACGCAGTTGCTCCAGCTCCAAGTCCTTCTCGGCCAGCACTGCCAGGGCACGGTCCCGCTGCTTGTGCAGCTCCTCCTCCAGTTTCAGCGTGCGGTCCCTGAAATCCAGCTGGCTCCGCTCCAGCTCCTGCCGGTGGTGATGCTGTACCTTGGCCAGCTCCTGCTTCCAGTCCTCGGCCTCCTGCTGGTGCTGGCGCTCAAGCTCCTCACAGGACAGCCGCAGGGAGATATATTTCTCCTTCAGCTCAGCAAGCTGGTTCTGGGCTTCCTCCAGCTCCTTGCCCAGGTTCCCGTCTTTGGCATTCTTGTTCTTGAGGATGACCTGGGCCCTCATCTTGTACCTCTCAAACTCTTCCTTCAGCTGTTTCAGCTCCTGTTGGTAGTAGAGCGCAGTAGCCTTCTCCCCATCGGCGGCCTCGGAGCTGGGCATTATCTCCAGGTCACAGAGCTTCTCCACATCCAAGGTCACCTGGCTTTTCCTGGCTGCCACCTGCAGTAGCCTCTTCAGCTTCTCCATCTTGTCCTTCAGGACATTGACGTCCAGACTGGATTCCTCTCCATGGCTGTCTAGAGGGGACCGGCTGGAGGCTGCAAGAGCCAGTGTCTTGTTCTCCAGGTCCAGCTGCAGAATGCGCTCCTTCAGCTTCTGGATGGCTAGTTGGTCCTTCTGCTTGGCTTTCTCATAGGTGCCCAGCAGTTCCGACACCTCAGATATTTGGTTCTCCAGGGATGCCACCCTCTGCTCTTCCAGCTGAGATTGCTGGCGTAGTTGATCCTCTGCAAGGGCTGTCTGTAAAACAAGAGAACAGATGGAAACGCATCCAGAAAAGCCTCAAAGCCCTATGGCAAACTTTGAGAAAGCAAGAGAGGGGAGCAAAAGGGTCACAGGATGGGGATAGCCTGACAAGAATAGGAACTGGGGACTTTTCTGTTGATTTGGGAGCTAACAAAAGTTCCTGTAACCTGCTTGGGTTCTGCTCTCAGACATATGTTATATCAAACAAATTAAGAATCTTCGTGTATCTGCTTTTGTCCTGTTTTAGTGCTTCCTCTTTCTTCTATCATACACTGAGCTCACATATAAAGTGTGTTATGTTTATCAGGTGCTTCCCCAAATCCTATTAAGAAATCATATGACATTCTTTTACTCTTCTAATATTCCTGGAAGATCAAATCTGAGTTGGATCTCTCCCCATACTGAATGGAGGCACTGTAAAATAGCATACCTTTCCAGAACACACAAATCTTGACTAACAGCAATTTCAAAAGGTCATTTCTTCTGAGAAAATTCCCTTTGCCCCCTTCGGCCACCCTATCTATAGGCACATACCACTACCTAAATCTGTCATGTACCTATAGGCATACACATGACTTTTCACTACATGGCTGCCACAGTACTGCTTCACAGCGCACAGCTGGTAAGATGCCAATGGCCAGAAGTGCAGAGCTGTCTGGCTCCAACCCAGCCTATACTCAGAAACTCCACATCCTGTTGGAAGCATGCTCTGTGGATACTGTCAACACCACAGAGAACACAAATTCCCAGGACTTACAAATAAAACTTTTTGAATAGCATCAAAAATCAACAGTACAGCCACCTAGATCTAACTATCAAAGGAGGAAAAAGAACCTTACTATTTCCCACTTCAGGCTAAAAGAATGAAAGAGATAAAGATAATTACCTTCCTTATTTCCTGCTGCAACTGAGCCTGGAAATGGCTCTTAAGGTAGGCAGCCTCTTCCTGAAGCTCCTGCAGCCGGGGGTCTGGCTGATTCTTCTCATCCCGAAGAGCCTGCAGCTCACCTTTGAGCTCCTCCACCTCAGAGGTCAGCCGTTTGGTCTGCAGTTCAAACCCTTCCATTTGACCAACTGCATATGCCCGCCCCGCCAGGGCTTCTCGGGTCTCTTCCAACCGAAGCTCCAAGTCTTGGCGTTGGGTCCTCTCCTCTTGTAGCAGTTTCTGGAGCTCACGCAACATCAAGGCATGGTCACTCTGCTCTTGTGCCCGATCATGCTGTTGTGTGATAAGTCTGGCTTTAGTTTCTGCTATCTGCTCCTGCAGCCCCTTCAATTCTCCCTCCAGACGGTCCCTCTCTTCCTCTGCCTTTTTACAGGCATCCTCTAAATCCTGTTTCATCTTTTTCTTGTCAGCCAGGTAAGAAGCTTCCATGCGGGATTTCTCCTGGGTGACTGTAGCCAAAGAGCTGGTCAAAGTAGCCAACTGAGTCTTCAGCTGGTGCAATCGTTTTTCTACCTCCCCACCAGCAGACGGTCCATCTCCACTGCTACTGCTAACACCACTCTCCGACCCGCTGGCCTCTTCGGACTTTGGAGGTGGTGGTCCACGGGTCTGTCTGTCATCTTCCACCCCAAACTCACCTTTGGTGCTTGTAAGACTGGCCGCTGTATCCAAGCTGGTGGCAGTCCCAGTGCTATCTTCGCTGTGAGTGGAGCATCGGTCATCCACGGAGTCAGGACAGGTGAGGCCTGGAGGCTGGATACCTGTGAGGCCCACATCTGCCTCGTGGGATACCGACAGCACTTTGATGCTGGCCTCTAGCGCTTCTTTCTCTTTCAGTAGGCTTTTATAGGCGCGGACCACATCCTTCAGACGTGCCTGGTACTGGAGGAGCTGCTGCTTCTGCGTCTCAATGGTCTCCAGCAGGTCCTTCTTGCTGGGGCCGCCCCCGAAATTCATCCCAAACTTCTCCATGAGGATTCAGAACGGTTGTTCAACGTCAGCGCGGATAGCCCTGGAGAGGGTCGCGAAGACGCTGGTGGGCTCTGCTGTCCCCGCAGTCCCACACCTGTTCCTCCCAGCTGTCCGAGACGGATGCAAGGTGGCGGGGCAGGATGGCAGAAGCGCCACCGGGTCCCAGGCACGGAGGACGGGGGCGGTCCTACCCTGGAGGCGGGGCGACGCCAGCACAAGAGGAACTCACTGCCAGGGATCGCCCGCCGGGTCTCAGAAGCCGCTCAGCGCTTCCCACTCGTCCGGGCCAGAGCAGCCCGCGACAGCCCTCGGCCCACAGTCCGCCAAGGGTTTAAGCTGAGCGCAACCACACGGAAACTTCTTAACTACAGCGGCCCCACAAGGGCGCTTCCGGGTCCGCTGGAAGTGACGACAGCAGGACGGCTCAGGCTCCGCCCCCAGTGGGCACAAGGTGGGTGGGGCTACTTCAGCGAGTGGGTGCTTGGCGGCCTGTTGAGAACCAAGTTGGGTGCGAGCCTATCACTCTCTGGAGAGCAGAGTAAGCAAAGCTGAGGACAGACGTGTGATTTTGCCTTCGCGAGGTTCCCTGAACTTGCCCCCAGACTACGATCAGCGAGGGACTGGGGGCGACGTCGCATAGAATCCTTACCAAATAGCCCCGTGAACGACTTGTCCCCACTATTTCGGGGCTCTAAAGAGCAACAATTAAGACTCTCATTTAAACCAGGAAAACTCTTTCTAGGACGGTGTATGGCACCTAGTAGGCATATGGTATAATAATTATTATACTGAGTTCTGCTGAGTTGATTGAACAGATGTTTATAGAGGGCATCTTATGGCCATGACGTCTGTCCTAAATGCAATTATATTCCAGGAGCTTTACAAGAGTTTCACTACGTAGTCTTTAAAATAATTCTTAGTGGATATTATTGGTGGACATTATTTTACAGATATGGAGACACGAGGCACAAAGAGGTAAGTAACATGTCCGAGGTCACACAGCTAGCAAATCTAGGAATCCTATCCAAATCAATCCAATTCTCAGCACACCAAATTCTGTGCTAGATGATCACCATGATGAGACAAGGTCCTGCCCTCAACGAGCTCACATCTAGCGGAGGACCAGGCAAGTCCTGCCATTATACCACTATATATATTCAAAGTGATATGGAAGAGGAAGGAGTCCTGTCTAGGGGAGGCAGAGAAGACTCTCAGGGAAAATAGTTTGGGATGTGAAGGATGAGTAGTGATTGCCCATCTAACTAGAGATGAGAGAAACAAGCATTCCAGGCAGAGGGAAAAGAATGCAATGACTCCTGGGTCATCAGGGTGCCTGGCTCACCTGGGAAGCATTGAGAGAGAGTCATCTCAAGGTAGTAGTTTAGGGTATGTGAAGGGGGTGGCAACAGATGGGGGTGGCATTTAGATTTTATCTTGGGTGATAAGACACTAAAGGATTTTGATCACAAGAGTGACATAGTCAAGACTTGTATGACAGGCATTACCAAGGGGCAGGAGACCTGTGAGAAGGCCATTTCAGTCGGGGGGTAGTGAAATAGGCCAGTGACAACAGAGAAAGAAAGAGGCTAATAAAAGAGCTGAAGATGTAGAACTGGCCTGACTTGTTCACAATCGGTGTATTATTATATTGAGACGCTTTTAAATGTACTCTTCCATCTTGTAAAAGCCTTGTTAGGAATGCAAGTCTATGACTGAGGAGTAAAGTCAAGCACTGGTATCTGGTGTCCAAAGTCTGTTCTCCTACAGACTTTGCAGGTCTGGATGGGGAAGGTCCTGGGGGTCTCTTCAGACCTAGTTTCTTAGTGGCACAGGTAACATCCAGCTGTATTATACAAAACATTCAGATATATTACTTATCATTTTTATCTTCACCATAACCTCATGATAGGGCAGATATTAGTCTATTACGGATAAGAAAATGACAGGTTGTAAAGATTGTTGAAGGCAAGCCCTTAAAAATAGGCAGAACTGAGATTTGAACTGAGGCCCAGAACAAAGCACATAGTAGGCATTCAATATTTATTGACTAAGTGAATGAGCAAAGGGAGTTCTCTGCTTCCCAGCTCACCTCACCATGTCCAGTCCATAAGCAATTGATTCTAGAAGCCCGCTAGAATCCAGAATAGCCAAAATGCATGCCCTTGCTACACTGAGCAACCAATTAGTCCAGTTCAACCCAACGAGCATTTGTTAAGCATAAACCTAGCATTGAACCGGGTTTTGCTATAGAAAATATTTATAATTAATCCCTATCTTGCTATTTCCTTTCAGATGCTGTGTGGGGAACTCACAGCTGAAACTCTTTGGGTGTAAGCAGGCATGATGATCCTGACAACATCCTGGATAGGTGTGCATTAATAATCCAGGATCCCAGGTTTGTGGCAAAGTGAAGAAAGAGCTTCAGAAAGGCTGCCTGGGTTCAGAATGAAAGACATTGAGTCTAGGCCCATCGAGGCGAAGGTCGTGTTCTCTAATATGCAGAAGCAATATCTAGGACCGCGCCGCCCAGAGCTGGTAATCTGCTGGTTCTGCTGTTGGGATCTATGGAGCAGGCGTTTTAAGGAACCGTGAAAGCCAGCTAATACGC